AAAAAATACCCAACCTTGTTTTGGGGGGGGGGGGGGTGGGGGGGGGGGGGGGTCTATAGAAAAAGTCCGACGGGTGTGAATTGAAACAACTAAAACAATTTAAGGGAACAAAACCAGACACAAACACAAATAAATAAGTCTACCTCTAATCATGGCCACGGCTACCAAAGCTTTGCGCCCGAGACAAATCCTGAAAAAAAAAAAAATATATATATATATATTGCTTGACATGATACTCATGAAAAATTACGTTTACGGCGCCCTCGTCATGATGATCTCGCAAAACGTGAGCATGGCGAGTCGCTCATTAAATGGCAGATCTCATTCAGAGTACAGCTCTTAAATACAGCGTGGTATGTCGAGACATTTCAGGTCTGAATGATACGCTTGTCGGGTATCTTTTTGGCGTCGTACCCTTCATTATTTCTCTTACCAAATTATATTTTCTTTCATATGACAGCCACCCATAGACAAATCGGCCACAGAAATAAGGAATATGTCCATGATCTTGGCGAGAACTCCGTTCAAACAAAAAGCCAAGACTCTGTTCAAAATGACAAGTCACACCCAAGAACTCAACAGTTTTTCAAAGCGCACAACTATTCGACGAATGTCTTGCTACAGACTAATTTTAAGGAACAACGAACGTCTTGCTACAGACTAAATTTTAAGGAACAACGAAAGTCTTGCTACAGACTAAATTTTAAGGAACAACGAATGTCTTGCTACAGACTAAATTTTAAGGAACAACGAATGTCTTGCTACAGACTAAATTTTAAGGAACATCGAAAGTCTTGCTACAAACAAACAACGAAAGTCTTGCTGCAGAATTTTAAGAAGCAACGAATGTCTAGCTACAGACTAATTTTAAGGAACCACACAAAACTCAAACAAGGATTGTCAGGACTTGAAAAAAAAAATCTATGGTAATAAAAAAACAACAAAAAATTTCAATTAGTTGAATCAATTTAAAAAATCTCATCTTATCTTATCTAATCTTATCTAATCTTATCTAATCTTATCTAATCTTATCTAATCTTATCTAATCTTATCTAATCTTATCTAATATTATCTAATCTTATCTAATCTTATCTAATATTATCTAATCTTATCTAATCTTATCTAATCTTATCTAATCTTATCTTATCTTATCTTATCTTATCTTATCTTATCTCATCTTATCTCATCTCATCTTATCTCATCTTATCTTATCTTATCTATATCTGTGGGCTGGTATTTTTTTTAAACATACGGGTTTGATTGATGTAGTTGGAATTCCTTGAGCCGATATTTCTGCAGGTCCCCGACTTCACAGGAAACTGACATCGCGTTGGCATCTTATTCTCGCAGTAGATCTCGAATCAACCTTTGTTGGCCTGTTCAATTACGACTGGTCGATAGCGTTTCTTTCTCTACAGAAAGAGAAAAAAAAAAATCTTTGAAACACACGTGCAACGGAGTGACACAGGAAGAGTTTAACCAGTTGATAAGGTTTGATATCTTTCAATCTAAAGCCGATATACAAGAGGTGTTTATACAGACAGCTGACACTGAAGGTGTTTATACAGACAGCTGACACTGAAGCATGATGTTGCGTGTGCGTTCAACCGTATAAAATCCTAAACTAGGCCAACCCCAAGTGAGGTCCACCTCGCCAGCCAATCGGTATAGTTGACATTGCTTGAAGGTCAAGTTCAAAGTAAAAAAAAAGAAAAAAAAAGACTGTCATGACAAACCAATAAACTGTTGACCCGTGTCTCCTCGCCTTGTCAGATGTACGTAATCTGTAATGTCTGGGTTGGATGTTCTTAGACATTCTTACCTGGATGGTCTCAGACTTCTAGCCTGGATGTTCTCATACATTCTAGCCTGGGTGTTCTAAGACATTCTTACCTGGATGGTCTCAGACACTCTTACCTGGATGGTCTCAGACATTCTTACCTGGATGGTCTCAGACATTCTTACCTGGATGGTCTCAGACATTCTTACCCGTATGGTCTCAGACATTCTTACCTGGATGGTCTCAAACATTCTTACCTGTAGTCTCTTGGTTGGGATGGTCTCAGACATTCTTACCTGTAATCTCTTGGTTTGGGATTGTCTCAGTCTTAACCTTTGAATGTATGCACTGACTTGCAGGGAACTTACATTTACTGGGGTACCTCTATGAACTTTTCAACATGAAAACTTTTTCATAACCCATTTTAACCTCTACACACGAACCTAGATTAGAGACATACCCCGCGATGCACTGAGTTGGCCCGCGTGCCGTACATGAGACACGCCCCGCGATGCACTGAGGTGGCCCGCGTGCCGTACATGAGACACGCCCCGCGATGCACTGAGTTGGCCCGCGTGCCGTACATGAGACACGCCCCGCGATGAGCTGAGGTGGCCCGCGTGCCGTACATGAGACACGCCCTGCGATGCACTGAGGTGGCCCACGTGCCGTACATGAGGCACGCCCCGCGATGCCCAGAGGTGGCCCGCTGTGCCGTACATGAGTCACGCCCCGCGATGTGCTGAGGTGGCCCGCGTGCCGTACATGAGACACGCCCTGCGATGCACTGAGGTGGCCCACGTGCCGTACATGAGACACGCCCCGCGATGCACTGAGGTGGCCCGCGTGCCGTACCTGAGACACGCCCCGCGATGCGCTGAGGTGGCCCGCGTGCCGTACATGTGGTGTTTGCTGTTACTACGACGTATGGGTCTGGAATACGACGCAAAGAGTTGTGTGTGGTGACCAACGAGTGGTTTTTATGACCAACGAGTGGTGTGTGGTGACCAACGAGTGGTGTGTGGTGACCAACGAGTGCTGTTTGGTGACCATCAACCAACGAGTGGTGTGTGGTGACCATCGACCAACGAGTGGTGTTTGGTGACCAAGAGTGGTGTTTGTTGACCATCGACCAACGAGTGGTGTGTGGTGACCAATTATGAGTGGTATGTGGTGACCAACGAGTGGTGTTTGGTAACCATCGACCAACGAGTGGTGTGTGTGACGCTTGCTTTTTTGTGCCTCTATTTCGCTATGCTTGTACTTAAACCATGTAGTTATTGAAGAGTTGGTTTTTTTTTTTACGTTTATATTATATACGTGCACCACCTCCTCCTACATCCTCTTCCTACCTCCTCCTCCTGCTACATCCTCTTCCTACATCTTCCTGATACAACGTCTTCCTACCTCCACCTCCTCCTGCTACATCTTCCTGATACAACCTCTTCCTACCTCCTACTCCTGCTCCCTCATCTTCTTCTTCATCGAGCTACCTCATTGTCAATTAGGCCTTTAAGAATCATCCCATTCAAGAAACTCATCTCTCCACTAGTCGTCCTTATATTGACCTCCTAAGCACATGACGCCCGTCCATTCAGCGAAGACTCTACCATTGCTCCTCTACCTAACACGGCACCACTCTTTTTGTCAAATAGCTGTCATGACATGACAGCTGTCATCTTAACAAAACAAATACAAGATAAAAGACAAAGATAAATCTTAACAAATTATTGGTTTTAAAAAATGAAAGTATTTTATTCCTGGTACATCAATAACTTGATATTTCATTTAAAAAAAAAAAAAAAAAGAATTAATAATAAATGAAGTATCTCTCAAAATAACCAAAAAAAAATAATTAACAAAAAAAATACAAAAAAAAAAACAAAGATAAATCTTAACAAATTATTGGTTTTAAAAAATGAAAGTATTTTATTCCTGGTACATCAATAACTTGATATTTCATTTAAAAAAAAAAAAAAAAGAATTAATAATAAATGCAGTATCTCTCAGAATTACCAAGAAAGAATAATTGATTTGAGAGGCATTAGGTGGGGACATTTGCCAATAAATGCAGCCATTACAGTTACAGAGAATAAATAGAAGCAGCCATTTGGCTAAAATGCACACAATTCTTAAGATCAAGATCTATTTTTTAAAAATTAAAATGTTAAGAACTGTAGGGATTGATTTTTCTAAATTAAAAAAAATAAATATGTACTGGAAGCATTAGTCAAAGAATGTATAATAAAATAAAATACAATTCTATTTAAAAAAATCTAAAATCTATTAGTAAATTTTAAAAAATATATTTTTCATCATTTCCTACCTCCATAACCTATTTCCAAACCATGTTTTAAAATTGCATCCATGTGTTTAGCAATGTGTTTAACATATTTACATCATCCTTAACATTAAAATGTGTGGAAACACAATTCCGATATTTCATTATTTTACAAATCTTAAATGAAAGATTTTAATTTCATGGTGTCTCTTTACATTTTAAAATACACGTCTCATTGCATCCTACAATACACTTATATACAATATTGACATTTACAAAATAGGGTAAGAAAAGTAAAAATAAAATAAAGCTGTTAAAAGATTTAAAAAAAAAAAAAAAGCATTAAAGCCACTGCTACAATTTGGTATTGTAGTTAATGACAAATATCTTGTCACAAGACGCCATTTCATTGGTTGTAGCAACATCGCTCCCATTGGCTGGAAGGGCAGTGCTTTGAGTGGATGCGCCGCCATTGACAAGACCGGACTTTCCCGCCTCACCGTTTTCAGCAAAGATGGACGTCTTTGTGGCGGATTTAATGATGGCGTTAGATTTTGGCTGCAGACGGGCACTTTTTAACTCTAGTTCCCTCTTTTGAATCTTTTCTTCCTCAATCTTCATGTTCTCCATCTTCACCTTTCTTCGTTTCTTTATGATAAAAAAAATAATAAATAAATATATAGGCCTACATATTTCAGGGTTGATTTAAGGGGAACACTCAAAATATTTTCATAGTAAAAAAAAAATATATATATAAAAATCATTGTCTCTGAAACAGCTAGGAACAATCAGAAAGTATTTATTTCGCTATTAACCTTGTAAAGTGGGCAAATATTTTTTTAATGATATAAAAACAGTGTAACATGGTCAGAAGCCCTGGACCCAAGTTGAAAGTGCCTTTCTGTATTATCATTCTACATTGTCTGCTTTTCACAGACCATTTTACGTAAACAGCATTAGGCTGTCCCCAATGCCCTTATGGGCTTTACACCGACTATACTTTTGGCGAAAACTTCTGAGGTGATTGTAAAATTTCAAGCAAAAAAACAAAAACAAACAAAAACAACATAAAATAACACCAACCCATAAAAAAAAAACGGTCAAAATTAACCTACCACAGCAACTTTACAAGCCAGCATGGACAGCAGAAGCCCGAACACTCCAAACGCAGCAGAGATGGCACCGGCAACCACATACAGGTGGACCAGTGTCTCCCTGCGGCACTCGCCACGCGTGACGCTGATCACCCTAAACCACAATGAAAAGAAAATGGTAATCCTTTGATTGGTCTTTATACATCATCGTGTACTGCTTGTAATAGTGTAATACCCCCAAAACCACAACCGCTCAGAAAAGATTTAATGAAAAATTACTTGTATAAAGCTCTGATGAACTTGTTATTAAGGTATTGAAAACGTACGTGCAGTTGGCTCTGTTGACGAACACCGGCTCAATGGAGAAGCCATATCCTATCCCGCCAGCGACAAGGGTGGCCAGGAGCATGACGAAATGCACACCAATCTGCAAGGTAATGTAATACACCATAGGATATCTCCTTGTAATATATTCACAAACTATCTGCTTATTTTCATGGGGGGAAAGTTTATGATGGAGAAATGTGGAAGTCTCTAACATCTAACGGGGGGGGGGTAGGGGCGGCAAGACATGGAGGTAGGAATCGTGTGACCGTTCTGGATTTCATCTGCAACTACACAGAAAAGAACTCAGTTAAGTTTGCTAGGATATGTTGGCTGCTGTCTCCTGACTTCAGTAGATTATTTCTCTCCGACTTTTGAATGTGCATTCTGTCCAACAATAGTGGCCTTTCTTTGGCTAACGAGTCCAATCCGCCAGCAATTTTTTCATCAATTCATTATGCGTATTTTTATTTCAAAAAAAAACAAACAAAAAAAAACAAAAAACAAAGAAACATTGTTGACCATGGTTTACATACAATGAGTTAAAGTTGAGATGTCGATGCGTAAATAAGGAAGGATGTCATTTCCACCAGTGTGAGAATGTTTGCGAATCAATTAAAAGGCTATTAGTTCTAAATTTAGAAGATATTCGCTAAATTACACACATCTAGCTTCGAGGTTAGTTACTAAGACGCGTGGTGTGTCACATGACCCTAGTCGACGTCCAACTTCCGTCTTTCAAAAAAGTGCAGCATGACGCCAATGAAATTATTTTTGGGGACTGCCCAGAATATTTGTAAGGCTAAAAATGTCGCCGAGGACGCACGAAAGGCGGACTTTACTTGGTCAAAGTGACAGATCATCAACCTTCGCATGCCTAGGAAAATGGCAGGCTTTAATCACGCACGGGTCAAATACGTCGGCTTTCCGAATTACAAGGACATGATCGTGACCTACTACGGACTAACCTATGGAAAATATTTACGTAAGTTTCTAATATTGCTAAGTAGTGCGTAGATTAAATATATTGGCAAGCTCTGGTGCTTCATAGGTCTGAACATGTTTAGAACCACTGAATAACCTGAATGTTGAATAGGGAAACGTCATGTTTTCTTTAGGAGTCATAGAGAGCTGGAGGGGGTGATGTGGGAGTGGGTGGCCGGCGACCAAGATGACGAGATTGTTTATGTGCTCATACTTGCTTTTGGGTCTGAGATGATGTACAAGATACAATTTCTCCGGATTGATTGACTCAGTGAAGGAATGATCTTAATCAATGCCGGCTGTGGGGTTTGAAAAGTGGTGATCAGAAAAAAAAAAAAAAAAAAAAAGGGCACCGTGGTCATCGTTCGCGGTCTTTATAATATGTTAGCGACCAGGGCACCGGGCGCCAATAAGTCTAAGGTCGGCAATACTCAGGGCATATGGTATACACTTGGCTAACATTTATAAAAAACAACAACAGTAGAGCAAACACTAAAAGGAAGACGGACATAATCCCAAGAAGTGAGGGTGTTAGAGACGGGCGATGATTATGGAATGTGGGTGTTGTTACAAGGTAGGGCCATCTCTTTGTGTACGATCAAATTACCACCAGCCAGGAAGGGCGTCATCTTTATCCGAACAATGGCACAACCAACACATTATAAGCAAACATTGACCTACTTCAAACGGAGAGACCAAATGAGGATCATCTCGATACGTGGTTAGCTTTCCGTTGTTTTTGCTAAGTACTAGATAGGACCATCCAATAGTTAGCAGAAATAATAATTCCAGGATCTCAGACTTGTTATTGTGTTGTGTATATTATTATTACTGTGAGATTTAGATAGTTAGACCTAGACCGGTATTCATTTCTTTATACGTAGATTTCATGTATCTTTCTTCATAGTATATTTCCATGTATTAAAGTAAATTTATATAGAGCACTGATTGTCTTTATTTTAGCCAATAGTGTGTCTAAAATCTACCCGTCTTCAAATCCTCTAAGACCACGAGCTTGTTCACTTTCATTGAACACAATAGGGGGCGTAACAGTGTCCACCACCCGAACCTCCTAAATGTATACTGCATTACATAATCTGGCTGGCAGAACCTTCATAAAGAATCTAGCAAAACAGCATGACGCTCAACACACGATAAGCTACACATAATAAAGCGGACACGACAAGGCATCTCAAAATAAGGTGTCATTCTATTATAGTTTTCTTATTTTTGATATATATATATAAAACATCTATTGATATATCTAGATCCTTACACTCGACATCTGTCTCCTGTAAGCCACGCCCACCCCTGTGATGACTGGGAAGCAGAACTGAAATACAAAAGAAGATTATCGTTTAAAAATTTAAAAAATGGTCACGTGACAAAATGAGATATGACTTTCTAAAATCATGTGACCTAATTATATGGGAACCAAAAGCCCCAACGCAGATAATCCATCTTAAAGAATATTTAACTTAAAGATAATATTGAGCTGGGTACTTTTTTTTTTAAAGGTCGATCATCTCATTGTAACTTCTCCACCCACCGGGAAAGGGGGGGGGATAGAATCAAGTCGGTTCTGCTCATTCGCGACTGAATGACCGGTAGCTATTGTACGTATCAGAAAACGCCGCTGTCATGAGTTCTTTCAAAGAACAAACGGATAGCCAAACAGAAAGTGTCTACTAGCAGAGTCTAGATACTGTACAACAATTAATTTATCAAATAAGGCAGAGTCTGTGAAACTTTCACGAGGATGAAGCTGCGTGGTCAGACGAATTAATCCCATTTCCTTTTTGCATTTGACGGTCTATGCCTTCACTTTTTACAAGTACAACAATCTTAGAGAGTACTCGAAAGTCCCAAGACACCTATACTAATTCATGTTTCATCATAAAAACATCGCTGACTACATTGCTGAAAGCTCCCCCCCCCCGCCCCCCACACTCCCCCACTGTCGTTGAAAACATGCACATGTTATTGGTAGGCTGAAACCTGCAGTTTACCTATACACTGGTTTGTTTTCGCATTGGCCGCCCCCAATCTCAGCGATTCTCAAATCTCTTGATCTAAAGACTTTGACCCTTGGGCTAGCCCCGCAATGAAATATAACACCCCCGATCACAACACATCTATAAATAGACTCACCGGTATACACGTGAGCCAGACTGAGGACACGTCTTTTCGGAAGGTCTCCAGAAATCCCACAGCGNACTTTTAGGAACATGGGAAACATGAAATTATAGTGACTTATAGGAACATGGGAAACATGATATCGTAGAAACGTTTAGGAACATGGGAAACATGATATCATTGAAACTTTTAGGATAATGGGAAACATGATATCATAGAAACTTTTAGGAACATGGGAAACATGATATCATTGAGACTTTTAGGAACATGGGAAACAGGATATCATATAAACTTTTAGGAACATGGGAAACATGAAATGATAGAGACTTTCAGGAACATTTGAAACATGAAATCATAGAGACTTATAGAAACATAAGAAATATGAAATCATAGAAACTTATAGGAACATAAGAAAAATGAAATCATTGAGTCTATTGGAACATAAGAAGCATGAAATCATAGAAACTTATAGGAACATAAGAAACTTTAGAATGGACATTTTCAACTCTACCTAGTCCAATTTTGATGTCAGTAAAACAACTATCCAGACAAACGTATTGTGTTTTACATTTAAGAAGCTTGTTCTAAATGTACGAAATGTAAAAAAAAATAATTAAGATGTGAAATGTATTATTAAATGAAGTTGTTCCGTGTGTTTGTTGTATGATTATAGAAGCGTGTATAGTTTTTTTTTTTTTTTTTTAAAGTGTTGACAAACGACTCGACCATATTATTATGACTGCAACTCTGATATTAAAACATTTAAATTCTGCAAATGAAGTCACCTACGTTTCCAATCCATTGTCGATTCAATTCGATGTTTTTAATTAACTTGGCAATATTTTGTTGATCTAAATCCGGCCTGGAAGAAGGTAGAAGTTCCTACTGAATTATTACTCTTTGGACATACTTTCTGGGGCATAAAAATCATAACTTCTTCACATAATGGAGATTCATAGCAAATTATTTTTTTTAACAGTAACGATCCGAAGCCTAAATAATATTTTTTTTAAAACAATTTCATTGCACCACGTTGACAAGGAATAAGGTAACAAGGGTATTTTAAAAAAAACAACTCTATTTCAATAAATTTTCTTAAAATGTACACCATAGACAAAATATGAAGTCCAACCCAAGCAACAATGGTACCGGTATATTATTGCGTATTACGTTAACCCAGTGGTCGACAAACTCATTCAAAAGAGCCAAATTTCAGCAGCAGGACGATCGATTACCAAATTTTTGAGAGCCAAAGTTCTTTTCAAGAACCTGTCAAGAACCTGTCAAGAACCATGTTTTCCGGAGTCAAACCCGGATTTGTGGCCGACTGGCCGAGCCTCTGGCCGGGCCGCACTCAGGTTGTTAACCAGCCGCATGCGGCTCGCGAGCCACGATTTGGTAAACGCTAGCTAAATTTTATTACAAAATCCTAAGAAGGCTTTCGTGTTAAAGAAAAGGTCCTGCCGTAGTAAAGCTTAGTTCAGAAACTCACCTGTGATGGCAGCGAGTGCTGCTATGACGGCGATGCTGACCCCCAGCACCACCTGGACGTCCCTACTTTTGTCATATTTCTTGAGCTGTAGGTGAGTCTCCTCGGACAGGTTTCTCTGGGTCAGCGCCTTGGGAACATTCTCTTCGGCATTGTGAGACATTTCCTGTTACTGTGGGTATTGAGAAGAGGGTTAGGGGGTGGGGCTAGAACGATTTTTGTAAATATTTATAACATTACATCTTTACTTTAAGGGACGTAGGGCATGAGACGTAGGGTATGAGACGTAGGACAAGAGACGTAAAACATGAGACGTAGAGCATGAGACGTAGGGCAAGAGACGTAGAGCATGAGACGTAGAGCATGAGACGTAGTACAATAGACGTAGAGCATAAAACGTAGAGAAAGAGACGCAGGGCATGGGACGTAATCATGAGACGTCGAGTATGAGACGTAGGACAAGAGACGTAGAGCATGAGACGTAGGGTATGAGACGCAGGGCGTGCCCCGAGCCAACTTGAGGCGAAATCCAAGTGTCAATTTAATTGTGCCACATTTATATTAGATAAGGCTACATTGTGATCTTGGTTTCACTTAAGTCAGGGGTGTCAGACTCAATCACTCGGCGGGCCAAAACTCAAATCACATGTAAAATTGCGGGCCGAACAGGATAAACATTCAATAAGCTGAAAATTAATCCTTTTTTAAAAAAAACATTTATATAAATTATAAATGAAAACGGAAAAAAAAGTTAATAATTAAAAATCATTGGCACACCCATTTTCGCTCTTACGCCAATTGGTCAGAACTGGATGTTTTTGTCAAATTTTCTTGGCTACAAAAACAAGTAACGTTGGTTTATTTTGGGAGTAATATTCAGTGTCATTGAGATTCTCATGATGGACTGCAAGTGTTCATCAGTAGGACGACTCCTGTGTGATTGTTTTAAATCTTCAGCACAGAAAAACGGCTACTCACCCAACACGCTCAAGGTTCGAGCCGCATGTAGACGAAGCTGTGGCATCTCTTCAAAAATGAAACGAGTAAACTGTGCAGGCCCAAGTGTGTCCGATTTTGCCTTTTATGTTCCATTACAGTGCAGCTCTATTAGCCCCATCTGTACATTTACAGGTTCAGTTTCCACATCTATGACAAAAGGCTTAAGACACTTCTCGAAATTACATGTCCGTGATTCAAAGTCACTAAAGCGTCGTGCAAACTCGGCGCGAAGTCAGCCAAGTTTTTCAGCAAAGTGTGCATTGGGAAACACCATAGCGTTGACTTGAATATAATTGTAAGCCGGTCAAGACCTCGCGGGCCTGATATAATTGTTCGGCGGGCCGGATGTGGCCCGCGGGCCTTGAGTTTGACACATCTGATTTAAGTTTTTCAAATATTTTTGTCTTTTTTTTTTAATTGTTTGCTGAAGAAGGCATTTGGCCGAAACGTCCTTTTAGTCGCTCTGTCTCTTTTTTTTTTTTTTTTTCAAGCCTTGACATAATTTTGATCCATTATCTACTTCACATGGCTAAAAACAAGGTTCCCCATTTTTTTTTTGTTCAAGCCTTGACATAATCTTGATCCATTATCTACTTCACATGGCTAAAACGAAGTTTCCCCATAGACTGTCAATGTTAAGCCAACATTACCAGCTACTGGTTGGAAAAGGGTGGGGGGGGGGTATTGGGTTACGTTGGGGGTGGTTGGGAAGTGGATGGTAACGGATGTGACGGGGATATGTGGATTCACTTGTCAAGGATGTGAAAGTCGGGTACTTTTGTCGATAGTGTGCTTTAAGAAAAGTCTCGATTGCATTCCAGTGACATCATCATGGACATGCAATTTGGTTTCCAGAGTCTTGATATCGGCGAGGTAAAAATTTCCATTGGAGGTAATAACAGATCCAAGCTAACGGGAATACAAACAATTTTGGTTTTAAAAAAAATATGTTTCGACTCCCGTTAGCTTGGATCTGTTATTTCAATTGCTCACGGGGGTAAAAAAAAGTGAAAATGAAATCATTTTAATATGTGCTCTAAAAATAAAAACACGAACATTAGAACTCTCTTGGGAGTCGCAGCGTAGTGGCCAGACGGCCGCTCCACGTGGTTTCACAAATTTTTGGCCTAGAACCCTCTCACAACTAACAGATGACAATTTAATTTCATTATAAAATGACTTGACGGCTGATTTTCTAGTTAAGATAAAAACTTCAACGCAAACAAGAATGTTTATATTTTTAACACATACAAAAAAAAATTTTTTCCTTCCTATTTGCATAATCTCCGTTGTAAATGGAGATACGGGCGAATACCAGGGACTAACTTCATTGTGTACATATTTCCGTCTATGGTCTTGATTCAATGCCAGCTCGGCTTTCTCACCAACTCCACACAACCAGAGATTTGTTCTTTACAAAAATTTCTATTTTTTTGTAATCAGCCACAGAGGGTCGTTTGTTGACACGTCCGGTTGTTTCGTTCGCCAACCCCCTCTACCCACCCACACCCCACCATTTTAGGTTTTCTCATACTTATTCTTCTTCTTAGTGTAAGGTGTTGGGGAGTGGGGGAGAAACACACACACGGGAGATAGGGAGATAATTACTTTTCAGTCGTTATCCCCTCCTATCTATTCTGTTTTATTGGGAGTGTCCGCTCAAGCTGATTGTGTCACATTTGTGTCGTTGCTATCACCCTGTTGTCAGGAAAGCTTGACATTACCTGCAAGTCACAACAGGAATGCCTGACATTACCCGCAAGTCACAACAGGAATGCCTGACATTACCCACAAGTCACAACAGGAATGCCTGACATTACCCACAAGTCACAACAGGAATGCCTGACATTACCCGCAAGTCACAACAGGAATGCCTGACATTACCCGCAAGTCACAACAGGAATGCCTGACATTACCCGCAAGTCACAACAGGAATGCCTGACATTATCCACACGTCACAACAGGAATGCCTGACATTACCCACAAGTCACAACAGGAATGCCTGACATTACCCGCAAGTCACAACAGGAATGCCTGACATTACCTGCAAGTCACAACAGGAATGCCTGACATTACCCGCAAGTCACAACAGGAATGCCGGACATTACCCGCAAGTCACAACAGGAATGCCGGACATTACCCACAAGTCACAACAGGAATGCCTGACATTACTCAAATCACAACAGAAATTTCTGACATTGCTCACCAGTTAGAACGGGTCTCATATCTTGACAATTAACTTACCCCTTTTAATGTTTTAGTTCAAGAAAAAAGGGTTCTAAAAAATTAAAAAATAAAAAATATATTATGTTTCTTAAGTTTTTTAAGACACCAATTTGTTCGACTCTCATGACAACAATCAAAAAGTCATATAGTCAAAGAGTCATAAAGTCAAAGAGTCATAAAGTCAAAAAGTCATAAAGTCAAATAGGCATATAGTCATAAAGTCAAAAAGTCATAAAGTCAAAAAGTCATAAAGTCCTAAAGTCAAAAAGTCATTCCTTGCTGAAGCCGTTTCTGACTTCCTCTTCCCGACTCCAGATTTTAAGGCACAAAGAGGAGGCACATATTAATCAGCAGTGATGTACATTTTCGATCCTGTGAATGTGGCACACAGGTTGTAACAACCAACACAAAGACATAGAAACATTTAAACAAAGAAACATTTCCGAATCACACTCATTCAAAATTCATTTGTTTATAGCAGATTATTTCCCCCATTGATACAAGCCTCTCAAAGGGGTTAAGATCCCACCAGCCCCCCACCCCTCCCCCCCTTATCTAATTGAAACTGTAGGCCAACACGGGATCTATGACTATGGTCAGTTTGACCGACCACGCCGGTCATGTATTTGACAATGTAAGCTCATTACAAGACTGGACACGACTGGACATTGTTTCTTTGCAGGAATGACCACCCCTAGGCCCCGTGACGTGTTTGTGTGTGAATGTGGTTTACTCCTAACTACCAACCACTGCGACTAGTGGTGCTTGTCGCCCGCGTCTCCTGGCCTACACCCCGGCCCTAGACGTACCCGAGTTTCTACGACAACGGGTGGATTCAACGGAGATGACCTTGGTTCATTGTGGGTGTGGGGTGGTCGGGTCACATAAAAAAAAGGAATAGTTTTGTAAGTGGTGAAACGAGCTCCGTCCGATTCTTTTTTTTTTTGTTTTTTGGTATTTCGTCGTGTCCGAGTTTGGGTCCTGTTGCTTACAGTAGGGCTTACACTGACTTGTAGTTTTAGTTGGGGGGTCTTAGCCACGCGTCCTTATAACTCACCAGTCTCCGATCAAATCATGTCATTAATAGATGGCCTATGGCAGGCCTGCACAACTCAGAATGTAAGGCGGGCCGTAACACTTTATGAAAAACCTATGCGGGCCGTAACACTTTATTAAAAACCTATGCGGGCCGTAACACTTTATGAAAAACCTATGCGGGCCGTAACACTTTATGAAAAACCTATGCGGGCCGTAATACTTTATGAAAAACCTATGCGGGCCGTAACACTTTATTAAAAACCTATGCGGGCCGTAACACTTTATGAAAAACCTATGCGGGCCGTAACACTTTATGAAAAACCTATGCGGGCCGTAATACTTTATGAAAAACCTATGCGGGCCGTAACACTTTATTAAAAACCTATGCGGGCCGTAACATTTTATGAAAAACCTATGCGGGCCGTAACACTTTATGAAAAACCTATGCGGGCCGTAATACTTTATGAAAAGCTTGTGCGGGCCAAAAGATAAAAGGACAGGGGGGGGGGAAGCTATTTAGAAATTAATAATATAAAGAATATTTCGTTAGTTCGCGGGCCGCCAAGTGGGTGATGGCGGGCCACATGCGGCCCGCATGTTGTGCAGGCCTGGTCTATGGCGTCGCCCGACTGCACCGACACAATGCTACACGATTCATAAAGGTTGTCAAGGTAAACTCAAATCCACATCATCCGAATCAGATGCTTTTCAATCTCTCCTTCAGGTACTCTTGAAATGTTCCCACCTGTGACGTCATGTATCCCATATCCACAGGTCAGAAATGTAATACTTTCCTGAACAATTCGTGGAACACACCCCTCCCCCCCCCCAGCCCGGCCATTCCAAGGGACCTTAGACAAGTGACGTCATTTATAGAGGCCACGAGCATAATTTATGAGATGCGCATGTCT